TAAAAAAAAATTCACTTTAATTGATAATTTTCATGTAAAATAAAGTCAAACGAACACTAAATTTTGATTAAAAATGATTTTCTAGGAATATTTTTTTTTTGTTTTTTGTTTTTACTTTTTGGCAATGGAAACAAATTTTATAACCAATTGTGAAAAAAATTATCACTTTAATTGACAATTTTCAAGTAAAACAAAGTCAAACGAACACAAAATTTAAAAAATTTTTGAGTGAAAAATTATACTAATCAAACACACTTAATTAACAATTCCATGCAAAACAATTTCTAGGTAATTATTTTCCCTGAAATTCATTTTCTTTCCACCCTTACAATCAAACGGACCCTTAGTTTTTCATTAGTGAATATCATTTGCTTATTTCGATTATGATTTGATCAATTTATATTTTTTAGCCCATGCATTGATTTTCTATTTGGTGAGAAAATATAAAAAGATCAAGTGAGACATCTTAGGATGAAACATCTAGACTTCTTTTATTTCATTGAGTGTCGTACACTCTTTGTCATGAGTTTAGCCTGTTATGGCTCGAATTCATTCGAAATATTTTAAATTCCAGCTCATCCTAATGTTATTTTCTAGCTCTGCCCCTGTATATTACCTATCAAAGAGAATGTGATTAAATCCTACTACGTAAAAGTTTTTGCAATAGTAACCCAACATTATTAGCTAGAGATCCCAAGATCTTGATTCAATAACATAACTAAGTTATGAAGATTCCATGAAGTGCTTAGAAAATAATTTCTATTCATTCATATGATAATAAAAGTGCTTTTTATAGAATGTTAGATGTTAAGTATACTTTTAATTATTCCTATAACTTGAATAAGTAAAATGGAGTATGGCAAAATACTCTTAAAAGGATGTTACATATTTAACTGTGAAATGACGTCATTTCTATGGGAATTTTTTAGGCTGAAATTCTCTAAAATACTTATGAAACTCACGAGTAGTTCGGAACCAAAATGAACACAACCATAAGAATTGAAATATTTTAAAAAAGATATTGTGTGAGTATTATTGTCTTAGTTTACTACAACGGCTGAATAGTTTAAAACGTGTTCACTAATTAGCCGAATAAATTCATAGTATTTCATTAAGAGAAATTCAAGGCCAGAAGCTACCTCTCTTGATGCAATGTATTTTCGCTTGCCTCTCTACTAGCGTCTGCATTGTCATTTGCATTTCTAATAATTTTCATTCATGTGTGGGGTTGGAATTTGATTAATAAAAAGTTGATAAAACTTGATTATGCACTTCGACCAAGTATTCTAATAGATTTGATAGTCAAATCATGCATGTGATAGATTAGCATGTTCTACTCTTCAAGTAGATGATTGTAGTATATTTGAAATCTCAAAATCAATTTCGAATGAATAAGAAATTGTTGTCCAAAGCGAGGTGGAAAAAATCGGATTTTTAAATATGCTAAATTTTGAGGCGTGTATTTCCGACCACAACCCCTCAACCTCTATAAATTGAACACATTAGTGATCCAAATTCATTCCATATCATTTCTCTTTGATTCTATTGTATCAAAACACTTCAAAATTGTTTATTTTTTGCTTCAAAATCATCCAAAAGTAAAGAGAAAATTCCATTTTGAAGTTCACCGATACCTTGAGGTGCTTCTACTATCAGGAAAAATCATTGTATCTTGAAAGACAATTGCCAAACTCCATAAACACCTTGATGAAACCAATTCATCTTAAAGATAAAGTGTTGAACACTTGCCTCGATTATGCTTTATTTATTGTCTTCATTTTTCTTCATGTACCTTAGTTTTCAATCCAAGTAAGTTTGTTACTTTGATTTGTTGCATTTCAATTATTCAAATTATAATTTGCACACACACGTGACCTCCCCTCCCCTCAACCTCTATAAATTGAATATTATTGATGATCTAAATTCATTCCATATCATTTTCTTTGATCCTATTGCATCAAAACACTTCAAAATTGTTGATTTTTTTTTTTGGCTTCAAAATCATCCAAAAAGTAAAGAGAAAATTCCATTTTGAAGTTCACTGATTCCTTGAAGCGCTTCTACTGAAAGAAAATATCAGAGAATTTTGTAAGACGATTGCCAAAAATTTCGTACACGCCTTGATTGAACAAATCCATTTTGCCTCGATTTTGCATTATGCATTGTCTTTTTTTTTTCTTATACCATCGTTTTCAATCCAAGTAAGTTTGTTACTTTGATTTGTTGCATTTCAATTGATCAAATTATAATTTGCAGAGACGCATTATGCCCATCCCAACAAAAAGTACCCAAGAAGAGGAGGAGGAGAAGGAAAAGGAAAAGAAAATACATATGACCTTTAAGAAATTAAAAAATGGTAATTTTCTTACATTCCAAACTTTAAAAAATTCAAAAAAAAAAAAAAGAAAAGAAAGAAGGAAGGAAATCTAAACAAATTAACAGAATCAACAGCTATGAATCTATCTCCATGTCTTGATTAGAGAACCCGTTATTGCCATCTGGACCAGAATTGCTCCTATTATCTGAACTCGAATTGTCATGTCCGGATTCGTCGTTCTTTCTATTGGAGCAGCAACTGGCCGTTAAGAACAGTAGAGAATAAGAATGAAATTGGAGGTTGAAGAAAGGATACATTTCCTGTTGCATTTACACTGATATATATACAAGTTAAGGGATGAATATTGTTACACAGTACAAAGGGAATATACATATAGAGTAATGCCAGCTGTCTAACAAACTATATTCCATTCCATGGATTAAGGGATCTGTTCCTCTCACTGATTATGACACAATTTCAACACCCCCTTTCAAGATGGAGTACCTTTCCAACACTCCTAGCTTGTCTCTAAGGAACAAAAATCTGGAATGAGGGTCAGCCGTATGATCAGAAGAGGGAACATAATGAATTTCTAGTTCTTTATTCAGCACTTTATCTCTTACGAAATGAACATCCAACTCTATGTGTTTCGTCCTTACATGATATATCGGATTGGAAGCCAATGCTCCTGCACTTAAATTGTCACACCATATTTTGGGGATTGCCTCTTGTGATATATTTACTTCTTTCAGCAAAGACAGGATCCAAGTGATCTCAGATGCACAGTGAGCTAGAGATCGGTATTCGGCTTCTGTGCTAGACCTTGCAACAACATGCTGCTTCTTTGAGCACCATGATATCAGGCTGTCACCAAGGTAAACGCAGTATCCAGCAGTGGAGCGTCTGTTGTCTGGGCATGAAGCCCAATCAGCATCAGTAAAGGCAATTAAGTTTAGATCTTCACTTTTCTGAATTACTAAACCATAGTTGCGAGAACTGTGTAAGTACCGAAAGACTCTCTTAAGCGCCTTCCAGTGAGCTTCTGTGGGAGATTGAAGAAACTGGCTTAATTTATTCACAGAGAAAGCAATGTCTGGTAGTGTATGTGTCAAGTACTGAAGTCCACCTACTGCACTTCTATAAGCTGTAGGATCACTCATCAGATTTCCTTCATTCTTCGAAATCTATTTTCCCACTACCATAGGAGTTATGCTTGATTTCAGATTTTCAAATTTGAACTTCTTTAGTAGATCAGTTAGATACCTCTTCTGAGTGAGGTATAGACCAGTTCTATCTCTGTACACTTCAATCCCCAGAAATTGACTAAGGCTTCTCATATCTTTGAGGGCAAAACGTTCATTCAGGCTGTTAATGAACACCTGCAACTGCTGCTTGTCACTCCCTGTGACTACGATGTCGTCTACATAAACTAAGACAAATAGAATCCGTTTCTTATCAACTGAGAAATATAAAGAGTTATCTGCCCTGGATTGTTTGAACTTCCATTGCAAAAGTGTATCCCTCAATTTGTCATACCAGGCTCTTGGGGCTTGCCTCAGTCCATATAGAACTTTTTCCAGCTTACAAACAAAGTGTGGAGTGTTTTGTTGCACAAATCCTTGCGGTTGTTCTATGTAGACTACCTCTTCCAACTTGCCATTTAGAAAGGCGTTATTAACATCAACTTGCCCAATGTCCCAATCTTTAGATACGGCGATGGTGAGTATGATTTTTAGAGTTGATGACAGGACTAAAAGTTTCTCTGAAATCCACTCCAGGTGTTTGCAAAAATCTCTTGGCCACCAGCATCGCTTTATACCTCTGTACTTTGCCTTCTGCATCACATTTGATTTTGAAAACTCATTTGCTGCCAATGACCTTCCTTCCAAGCTCTGGAGGTACTAGCTTCCATGTTTCATTCTTTAGTAGGGCATCATATTCATCTTGCATTGCCTTTTTCCAATTAGTACTCATCAGGGCATCATTGACACTTTGTGGTTCAACTAGCTCCTCTGAATTCTGAGCAAAGTATAGCTTTGGTTTGAAAATTCATGCCTTACTTTGGGTGACCATAGGATGACCAACATTGTGTAAGCAATCTTGACTATTAGAATTCACAACACCATAGTGTTTTATTTCCATCTGATTCACCAGGTTCACCTGGCACTATTTGATCAGCCTCAAGATCAATCCCAGTATTGCTAGCATTACTTTCAATTACATCAGCTTCAAGACTTAGGTCCCTACTGAAGGAACCTGTAATAGGAGAAGACCTTGGTTGAACTATATCAGGTGCAGGTGGTGAAGAAGATATGTGACTTAGCTTATTTTCAAAAGGAAGAGGACACAGGCTGATGGTGGTAGTGTCAGATAGTGCATATTTGTTAAGAAACCAGAATGAAAGGGAAATTCTTCTTCATTAAACATAACATGACGTGAGATATATATTCTACCTGAGGAGTTTAGACACTTATAGCCCTTGTGTGAGATGTTATAGCCAAGGAAGATACATCGTTGGGAATGGAAATCAAACTTGTGTTCCTAATATGAGTGTGAGATGCTATAGCCAAGGAAGATACATCCTTGGGAATGGAAATCATACTTGTGTTCCTAATATGGTCTAAGGCAGGGGTAGCAGGTGCAGCCGAAGGGTTTTAGTGTGGTGTAATCAAAAGTTTTCTTGTACAAGGTCTGATATGGTGAGTTGTGTTGGAGTATGGGAGTAGGTAAACGGTTAATTAGGAAAGTGGCTGCTATGAAGGCTTCCCACCAGTAGTGAAGTGGCATATGGGCTTGAGCTAGCAGTGTTAACCCCATTTCAGACACCTGCCTATGCTTCATTTCTGCTCTTCCATTCTGTGCAGACGTATAGGGGCAAGAGTACCTTAGTTGAATGCCTGATTTTAAGGCTATTTGGTTAAAATTCCTATACTCACCACCCCATCTGATTGTAATGTTTTTATCTTTCTCTCAAATTTGGTTTCCACCATTTGTTTGAATTGAATGAAGGCATTTAAGGCTTCTGAATTTTGCTTCATAGGATAAATCAAGACGTGTCTACTATAGTCATCCACAAACAAGATGTAGTATCTAAACCCTGAGGTAGATTTCTTGGGTGAAGGTCCCCAGACGTCGATATGTATTAAGTCTAGAGGATTTTGTGCATGTGAAGTAGAATTATTAAAAGGTAAGGCATGGGATTTTCCCAACTAACAAGCTTCCCAGAAACTTGGGATTTCATTTACTTTGACAGATTTATTACATGACTTCAATACTCGACTCAACACAGAATTAGATGGATGGCCTAGTTTCCTATGCCAAGAATTTAACTGTGACAACTTGACACTTGGTGGGGACTGACTACAACTTAAGACCACCGAGAGGGCTGGAAGATTGGACTTATTTTGGTGGCTTGACTCTTTGATTGCAGGGTTAGACTTCAAGGCAGGTACCTGCAGCTGATATAGTCCATCTTTAAGTTTCTCTTGTAGCAGTGTTTTCTTCGATTGCAGGTCCTTAACAGCACAATAATGAGGATAAAACTCCATGAATACATTATTGTCAAATGTTAATTGTGAAACACTAACCAAGTTCTTTTTAATGGCAGGTACATGCAGCAAATTGTTAAGTGCAAGAGTTTTATTACTTACTGTGGGAATATCAACTGCACCAATATGAGCAATATTCAAACAATTTCCATTTCCCACAAATAATTTTTGCTTGCCTCCATACTCTTGGGCAGTTACCATATTACTCTTGTCGACAGTTACGTGGCTACTGGCTCCTGAGTCTACAAACCAGGTAGAATCTTCAAAGGTGCTAGGTGAGGTAATATAAGCTGAAGGAGATGAGGTTCTCGTCTGAGTGCTTGGCCTGCTTCCCATGAAGCGATCATCATACCGATTACAACACCAGCTAGCTGAGTGATTGCTGAGGCCACATATTTGACATGGACATAGATTTTCAGCTGGTTTGCCTGATCCTCCTCTTCTGGATTTGCCTCTAGTATTAGAGAACCTCCCAGTTCTGCTAAAACGACCACCTCTTAGTCCACTTCTTTGAGCTAATTGCACACTGGATTGATTGATGTTTATTGAAGCCATTTCATTCCTTACTTGATTAAAATACTCAAGCCTACTCTCAAAAGTTATAAGCACAGATGAGAGTTCATGCCAAGAAATAGCATCTCTGCTGTTGATTTGGACCACGATGGGCGTCTATTCTTCATCTAGCCCAGCAAGGACTTGTGTTACCAGATCTTCATGATCAACTGTCTTCTCATCAATTTACAAATTGTCAGCCAGTTGCTTGACGTTTGCCAGGTACTGATCCATTGACATAGGCCCCTTTCTGGCCTTCTGTAACTCACCAGTGAGAAAAGTCACTCGTGACCTATTCATTATGCCGTAGCTTTCTTTGACGACACTCCATAATTTGCTAGAGCTGGTGCTGCCCATGACTCTCATGGGAATTTCAGGAGTCATAGAAGAGTACAGCCACCCCATTAGCAATTGATCAGTTGAGATCCATTTGCTATACTCAAAGTTTTGGGACATCTCTACAGAACCTCCTTCACCTGTGGCGGTTTGAGTAGCAACAAATTCTGGGGGACACGGCTTTGTTCCCAGCAGATATTCTTCTAGGTGATGACCTTTGATTATAGGCATTACCATATTTTGCCATAATAGAAAGTTGTTCTTATCCAGCTTCACAGATGGAGTTTGAGTGAGGTTCATTCCAAATGGAAAAGTCTGGAGTATACTGGTTTTTGTGGTAGCTGTGGTGTTTAGCTCGGTGGAAATGGCTGCATTTGCTGAACCGACATTGGCCATGGCTCTGATACCAAGTAGAGAATAAGAATGAAATTGAAGGTTGAAGAAAGGATACATTTCCTGTTGCATTTACACTGATATATATATATATACACAAGTTAAGGGATGGATATTGTTACACAGTACAAAGGGAATATACTATCTAATCCTATAGAGTAAGCTGTCTAACAAACTATATTCCATTCCATGGATTAAGGGATCTGTTCCTCTCACTGATTATGGCACAATTCCAACAAGAACATAAGGATCCTCAATTCACCTGCTCTTCTCGTTTCATCGTCACTGTCAGTATCTTCCTTTTTCTCCTCCTCCGGCATCTTGTACTGACAAAACGGACACGACCCTTGGATCCCCAACCACTTGTTGATACAATCAGAATGGAATTTATGGCTACACGGCATTTGTTTGAGTTCCGCGTTAACTTCAAATTCCGATAAACAAATCTAGCACTCCAAACCCAGTTCTGTAATTCGGACCACGGGCAGGGATTCTATCGAAGATTTTGATGCGGATATTAACACTCCCTTTTCTGGGATTTCTCCGATAATCGATTCGACATCATCGGAGCCTTCAAAGATGGTTATTGAATCAGTGCTTCCGTTTACGAACACCATGATTTCACGGGTGGGGTTTGTGGCAGTGGCGGCGAACTGGAGGAGTAAAGCTGTAGTGCCTCTTGCAGTCAACTCCTCGAACGGCGGCGGAGCTGGTGATGATACCTGTGATCATAGTTATTGACTTCAATTGTAATAAATGGAATAACCAATATGTTTTGATAATTGAATTCAACCGTTGGTTCTAAAGTGAAAAACTAGAAGATGTCTAGTTAATGATTAGAAAAAT